CCTCCCCCACACTCTTGTTCTCTCTCTCAAATATATAAACATTTGGAAAAAAAAAATAGTTCTTTATACCATAGTGTTATTTCAAAGGGAAGAGGGGATAGAAGAGAAAGATTTTTAAATAGAAAAGTGTCAATAATATAGAAGGAGTCCTAGAAAAAAAACCCACACATCATTGTAGAACCACCAGAATCAGAATCTGTTCAGACAGGGATTATTTGAGGGTAATAAGATCACTGGATAGAATTGTGAAGGAACAGGATGTCCACACTCCCTCAAAGCCTACCACACAGACTATAGTTGACCATTGACCATACAGTGGGGGCAGGGGTGCTGACCCCTCGTGCAGTCGAAAATCCACATAGAACTTTTGAGTTCCCCTAATCTTAATTACTAATAGCCTGCTATTGACTAAAAGCCTTACAGATAACGTGAACAGTCAATTAACATATTTTGAATGCTATATATATTAAGATACTGTATTCTTACAATGAAGTAAGCTGGAGAAAAGAAAATGATGTTAAGAAAATTGTAAGAAAGAGAAAATACATTTAGAGTACTATGCTGTATCAGAAAAAAATCCACATATAAGTGGACTCGCACAGTTCAAACCCATATATCATTTAAGGGTGAGCTGTATAAATACATGGTGCAGTGTTCTAACTTTTTGCGTGCTCAAAATATTTCAGAACAAAAGTTGGGAGAAGTCCGATGTCTGTGTATGAAGTCAACAGAGCTTCTGGTAGCAATTTTGTGTAGACTTCTAATATCAGTAGTTCTGCCTTTTGGCGATACTTTGAAAGGTGTTGCCAACATGATGGAATGATAACCATTCTTACCATTATGTAAGAGATACTATTATAATTTATTTCTGGTTATTTCTGTATTACAATGATTGGATTACTTCCAAAAGTATTTATGATCTTGGTTCATCCATTCATATGTTTTCTCTTTCATACCCCTCTACCTCTGGTAGAATGCTATTAATTGTTTCACAGTGCTGTTCACTCATTTTTCTGTATATAAATTGTGTTTAACTTAAAAATATTTAACTCTTTAAATATAACAACCCCTCTTTTAGGTGTTGAAATTAGAACAGGAATATATGATACGGTTCCTATTGTCAAGGAGTTTCTATGGTAATAATAATAATAATGATATGATTTGGCCATTTAGGGCAACTAAAACACAGCTGTTTGGTATTATAATAATCCTAATAATTCTTACTTTGTAGACAAGACAACTAAGATACAGAGAGATTAAGAAACTTGCCCCAAATGAAACAGGTAGGAAGGGGCAAAATTCAAATTTAAACCCAGGCCAGCCGGGTCCTCAGTCCATGCCATAAAATGCTGAGGAAACAGTTAATTTTGCTTGGACCATGAAGGCATTTGAGAAAGGTTCCAGACCTTTGACATTTAACTGAACGGATATATTTTACCAGATGATGTTGGGGAAGAGCATCATAGGCAGACAAATAGCAAACTTTGCTTAAAGAGTCATGAAAACCTCTTATGTGCTGGGAATGACGAATAGTCCAGAGTGGCCAGATCATACAAGTAGCAGGGAGTGAAACTGGAAGGTGAACGGGGCCATGTGGTGAAGAGCCATCCATGTAGAAGTTTGAACTTTATTTGTAGATAGTGGGTAGCCATTGAGGGGTTTTTAACTGTGATGCATTTAAAAAGATGTGGTAGCGGTGGAGGTGGAGTTGAAGACCACCCCAGCTACCAGTGAGGAGTTAGTGCCTTCATCTAGGAGTTAGGATTGCTGAACCAGGACAGGAGACATGATGGAAGCAAGAGACATGGATGGACCGGCAGAACGTGGATTGGGGAGTGGGAAGGAAGGGAACGGTTTTAGTTTGATAGGCTTAGTAGGTAGTGATGCTGTGGATTCATGTTGGAGAAGAGAAGGGGAATAGCATGGTCAGGGACTAGTTTGGATATGTTGAGATTGAGTATCTGCTGAGCTTCTAGGTCGAGATTCTCACTTGATGTTACATTCTGTCTAGTTTGTCTTGGTGTTACTGAGTCCACGACAAGATGGTGTTCGCTAGCCTGTTTTTCTGGAGCATTCAGGTTCCCATCTGTCACCTGTGGTTTCAGTTACTTCTTATTTCAGAATAAGTTCTGGAATAGTTAGTTGTAGCATGTTGGGCGATAGAGTATATTTTATCCACGAGTTGTAGATTCATGAGTGGGGGGAAGACATTCACTGCGTTCAGCTCAGGTGTAGCTGAATTGATGGCATCACGGAGTTAACATTTAAACGAGATGGAACTACTAATACATAATTTTTAAATCCTGCAGCATGGGAGCTTTTCCCAAGGTGTGTCTTTTTTTCCCCCCTGTAGGGGAAAGAAACGCATACTTAATGGTTTTTAAAATTGTGTTTGTGTGTTTTGTCCTTCCGTGTTAGTGTGTAGCATTTAAAATTACATATATGATAAATATGAGAATACAAGGTATGCCTTAAAAAAAGAATAACTACTTCTTAAAGTGATTCATTGATAATTCATAGTCATAAAAATGAAACATAGCAAGAGACCTCCTAGGTCTCAGCAGGGTTGTTCCTGGCAAAGTGTATGTTATTATACTCTAGGGTTGGCTTGAATTATTTGGCGTTTTCCTGTTGGCGGAGAAAGGGGTTGTGTTTGAAGAAGTCAGGGGAGGAAGTGCCGAAGAACAAAAAAATACTAAACTTTGATCAATCTTAATTTTTCACAGCTTGGCCTTCTCTAAAGTCACATTTAGCAGAAACATTAATTAGATTTCAGTGCCCCACTGAGCTTAAAAATTAAACATATTTCTGGAACCATCTGTAACATTTTATCACTAATAATATAATGAAGAATATGCTCAGTCTTTTGAAAAATGGGAATTATAACAGTACGTTTTGCTCACGAGTGATCATCTTTTATTATGAACAACCCATCACAATTTCTAGTAAGAGTTAAGTAATTAAAGGGTTTTAAAAATATGCCTAAAAATAAAATTCTCTAAAAATATTTGCGTTTTTAGAAATTGAGAATCATTTCCCAAAATCAGGATTTTCTTTGGGATTTTATGCTTCTTTTAAATCTAAAAATATTGATGGTGGGCATATGCCATCTGCCTGTGAGACTGCACTGAAGACCATCAGTAAGAGCCATTGCTTTCATCTAAACTATAATTACCTGAACCGAGGACACGTGGGAAGCAAGAGACATAGATGTGGTGGCTAAGCGTGTAGGTCCTGAAGCCAAGCTGCCCGGCTTTGGACCTCTCTTCAAACTTGACTTTACCAGATGGGGGAATTTGAAAGTCCTTTAACCCCCTGTACCTCTGTTTCCTTATTTGTAAAACAGGGACGATTATACTTACCTCACAGGGTTGTCATAAGCTTACCGTTTGGAGCATAAAGTATGTCTTCGGAACCGTTTTCTTTCCCGTATGGGCTTTCCTTTCCTTTGCTTTTGCTTCATCCACCTATGACACTGACAGAGGCCTCCAGAAAAGAAAACGTGGGGATTGAGGAGAATTGACAAAATGGCGGAATCTCAGCTCACTCACCAGAAAGGATTACTTTGGATTCCTTTCGTGAGAATGAAATAGTTTGGTACCTACTCTGTGTCCGGCACTGTTCTGGGGACTGGGGAGACTGCAAACACGTCTGCCTTCATGGGGTGCAGAGTCGTTAGGGGAGAATGTGCGTTAGGTGCGCAGCAGCAGTGGGCTCCCTGACTCTGAAGCCCGGCAGGAGACGGTCTGACCTGGTTACACAAAGAGGTCCCCACAGACTTTTTGGCTGAGGAGGGTATTTTCCTCTGTCTGAAAGGATGGGGTACAAAAGCGCCTTCCACAATTGTGTCGGGCTTCTGAAGAAGAGGGACGGATGAGCTGTACATGCCTAGTTCTTTGTCTAAATTTACTAATCAGGTAAGTCACTTTACCACCTTAGGAGCTGATAAGAGGTTGGACAACAGGCCCAAATAATTAGGAAGAAACGTCCCTTCTCCTGGAGACCAAAGAAGGAAGGAAGAAGCATTTTCTGTACCACCCTCCCCATCCCCCAGCTTTGCTCCAAATCCCAATTTGGTGTGACATCTAAGACCCCTGCCTACGTTTTCAGCCTCATCCCCTGATGCTTCTTTCTTTAGCTCTTTAGAACTACTGTCAGGCACCAGGGGCCGAATTACCTCAGAGCTACATCTATCCATGCTTCTTAGAATATTCATTCCCACGTTGTGCTTGATAAAAATCCTAATAATGTTTCAGTGCTTCATTTAGGGCTTATCTACTTTAACATCCCTAGGTGGATTTGACTGCCCCTTCCATTGTGACCTTGCTGTCACCTTTTCTGACCTTATGTTGTCACACAAGTCACGGCACTCGCCCATGTCCATGACAGTTGCCCCGAGCAGACGCTGATCTTCAGGGGAGCAACTTTACTTACTTTTGGACAAATTTTTCACTAGCATATTGCTAGTTATATGTTAATCTCTCCACACATAAATACCCGGTTCTCCTTTAAAGAATCATCTTGGTCATTAGTTAGAATTAGTTAGTTAGAAACATTAGTTAACATTAGAAACATTAGAAACATTAGAAAACATTAGTTAGAATTCAGTAAAATGTAACAGAGGAGAATTGAATTTTGAAGGTCTTTTTGTTGTAGTTGTTGTTGTGGCTGCATAAAACATATTGCAAAGTAACTAAAAATGTCCTTTTGGTTTAGTTTTGTAGAATACATAGTATTTTCAGCAATTAATTTAAAAGCATTGGAAAATTTAAACGATTCCTTTCTCTTTACCTGTCTTTAGCTATGGAATACTATTGCTACAACTATAATCAATTATCTAACTTCTTAGAATTAGAAAGTATATTTGCTATCTAAGAGTTTAACTTTTTTAGTAATTTTTGTCGTTGTTAAGCAGCATTTTTTTTTATTTTGTAATGTTTTTGGTAATTTGTAATTACAGAAGCCTTAAACAGTAACATTGAATTTCAATTTTGTTTTAGCAAAAACAACTGGAAATTGAAAGAACGACTAAGTGGTTGAAAATGCTAAAAGGATGGGAAAAATATAAGAACACTGAAAAGGTAATTAAAATAATGTGATTTCTATCTGATACTGTACAAATTGAATGTGGATTTTCCTAATAAAAGCTTTTCTTAAATGATAGGAGTATTCATCTTCTTGTTAAAAATTTCACTATAACTTAATTTAGTAAATTAGGAGTATTTATGTTGTAACAGAATGTCTAGTTAAGAGAATGTACTGGACAGTGTAGAGGTAGGATGGTTTCAGGAGTGATTTGCTTCAGACTCTCCATTGTGTTGCCTATGACTTAGTTTCTTTCCCTCTCTCTTCTCTGACTTCTGCACTGTCATCTTTATCTTGAGGTTGGCTCCCCTATGTGATCAAAATCATTGCAGTAGTTCCAGGCTTCATATCCACATGTCACACTGGTCAGGAAGAGGGCTGGCCTCTCAAAGCTTTCCCTGAAGCAGGAGCAATCTCCTTTTCAAAAGCTTCTAGCAAATCTCCCCTTAAATCTTTTTGCCCTGTACGGTTGGTGCTAAGTTTTAAACCAATTAAAACAACACACACATCTATTTAGTATCACCCCCAGTCTCCTCACAAAAGTCTTTATACATTGGGAAGCTGTGAAATTCATGGTGATAGAGAAAAGGGCTTTCTGGTTTTTTAATGAGAAAAGGGCTCTCTGGTTAAATAAAGTTGGGAATATCAGAACGAGCCAAAGTTAAGCAAAGTTAAGTCCTTTATTACAGGACTCCTCAGAGTCTTTATTATAACTTGTGGTAGGGGGACCACACCTTGAGGGACCTTAAATTGAGTGAAACTTATTAGATGGTGGAAATCTTTTTGTCATAGGGCATCTCACAGGACTAATGTCCCTTTTCTTTTTGAGCATCCTAAATACCCTTATTTAAAGTCTCTTAGACTCTTCTACTATTTTATTTTCATCAGGTGTAAGTTCATTTTGGGATTGTCGATTTTATTAACTGTTGCTTTAGTATTAGGTTGGAACTCAAAGATGTTTTCTGAGAGGAATCAGTTTAGAGTAGAATGTGAGGTATAACATCTGTGCCTTTGTTCCTTATCATGCTGTCGCCCATACTGGCCCAAAGTTGGCACCTACTTTACCTCATGTCCTTGTGGAAAGATTGCTCAAGTGGTGATGACAGGGTAAATGTTGACGCACGGCACCTACCTTTCATCTCCCATTCAGTCCAGCAAAGTATTTGTAGAATTATACGGCTTAATGTTCTTTTTTAGTATACATATATCTATGAAAGTATGTAAGCCTGTGTAAAAATAAGCAATTCTACTAGGCTATTATTCTGACAGCAACTCTGGCTAATGTAGTTCCCAGGAAGAGAGATTTTAACAGAACTGTTTTCTTTGATGTGTAATTTTAAAGCCCTTTCCCACAGCTATAATGCTGGAATTATTTGATGATATATATGGTCCAATTTGATGTGAAACAAAATGTACCTTCTAAAAGAATTGCTGCTTTCAGTTCATACCTAGTTTTAAATTGTACTGAGGCAAAAAAAAAAAAAAAAAAAAAAAAAAAAAAAAAAAAAAAAAAAAGCACGTATTTTTCTTCTCTTCCAAGAGGAGGTATACGTTTTCTCTCCACAGATTCCTTACTTATGTAATGGTAACACGAAGAAATTTCTAAAAATATCTTGAAGTAAAAATACAGCTGTGATAGAGAATATTGGATGGAGTTGTTAAGAATCCAAGCTTTAATGGAAGACTTTCCATTCAGGTTGTTTGTGTTGCTTGTGTGTTCTCACCGTGAACACTGTCTCTCCGTTTTCACTGTGCCAGTGTTAAGTAGTGTTGGGTTTTAAAAATATAGTCTACTAAATGCAGTTATCTCTGTTTTTTTTTTTTTTTTAAGTTTATTTATTTTGAGAGAGAGCAAGTGAGCATGAACAGGGGAGGGACAGAGTGAGAGAGAGAGAGAATCCCAAGCTGAGCAGGGAGTCTGACGTGGGGCTCAATCCCACAACCGCAAGATCAGACGTGAGCCCGTATCAAGAGGCGGACGCCGACTGAGCTACCCAGGTGCCCCAAAGTTATCTCTGTTAAGTGGAGACATCACGATGTAATCAGTTGTGATGTAATTGTGTCTAAGTTGTGTCACAGCTGAGTACCTACGAAAGATACACTTGTTATTTTTTTAAAGTCAAATAGCTGAATGGACCTTACATTAGCATTTTATTTTACAATGGGAAAATGGAGGCACAAAGTTTATAAATCAGTTCCTCAAGGTCACACAGCTTGTTAGTCGCAAGCAGGAGATCCCACGTCCAGACTCAACGGTTCATTCGTTGTATCATCTTCTATGTTGGCTTTCCCTATTGGTGTTTGTCAGCAAAAGGTCAGAGGAAGTAGAACACAGTTATAAGATGCAGTAGGGCCTTGTGTGTGGTTTAAAGCTGTTTTAGATCCAGGGGCTCCTGGGTGACTCAGTCGTGTAAGCGCTTGACTCTTGATTTCAGCTCAGCTCATGATACCACGGATCGCGCTGCACTGACAGCATAGAGCCTGCTTCGGATTCTCTCTCTCCCTCTATCTACCCCTCCCTCTGTCCCTCTCAGAATCAATGAATAAACTTAAAAGAAAAACAAATAACTTTTTTAGATCTGGACTTGAGGGACTCCTGCCTCTCTGGAGGCAGAGATGAAGGAGCTAATGGAGCAGGGAAGCTGAAAGAAAATGGAGAGGCAGTAAAGAGACAAGCAGAGTGAGCTTCGGTTTCATGGTATACACTTGTGGTTTTGCACGTCCCCCAAACTGAGCCATATTTGGTGGGCTGAAAAGTTGACTCACTGGCCGCCATGATGATGTGGATTGGCACATTCATCATTATTTTCAAACCACTAAGGTTAGAAAGAAGTATTGAACATGTTAAGTCAGTTGATGGGTTGTTTTTCAGTTGATGGATTTTTAAAAGGATTTGTGTGACTGAAATAGCCTACTTGATTGTGTTGGCAAGGAAACAAAGATACTGGAAGCAAAAGTAGATTTCAGGGAATCTTACTTTATTTTTTCTTTAAGGTTTGATGTATCATATCCATTAAATAAATTTCTAACAGAATTTTAAAGGTAGTACTTTTCAAATTGGAATATTAAAATGTTGTTTAAATCCAACATATAGACATTCTAAATCGTGGTTGTTAAAACTGTGGTTTCTGAAGTCGGACTAACTGAATTTCAGTTCTTTAGTTGATTAGTTTATTAGTTTTAGGACTTAGAGTTAGTTACTTTACTTTTCTGCACCTTAATTTTCTCATCCATGAAACGGGGATGATAATAGTATCTCCCTCTTTAAGAACGTGATAATATTGCAAGAAATAAATTGATATAGAAACACATATGCTGCCTCCTAATAAATAATCTGAAAATGGTAGCGTAACTTTTATTATTAAAGTTGTTATTGTTATTTGATTGATTATATTCCTCCCCGTCATCTCCACCCACATTTCCCCTTCCTGGCACATCTCTGTGTGTCCTTCAGTATTGATCTTCCCTAACTCTGTCATGTACAGTTCATGCCTCCCTTCCTCCATTACGGTATCTCTGATACAGTCTCAAGATGAGAGCCACTGTTGCGGGACTGATAAGAAGTGACCACCACAGCAGATTCACTGCCCTCACCTCAACTTTTTCTGGTTTTCCCTTTGACATGAGGACTAACCACCCCTGCATGCCTACCATTCTCCTTTTCCCACCCTGGCCCCCTCTGAGTCTGTGTCTGTCACAACATCTCCCATCAGGGTGTGACAGCTCTGTAGCAAGTACTAGATGTGACTTTATTTGATAATAAAGGAGTGCCAGCTGATGCTATAATTATCTGTTTACATAATTATTTTCACTGTTACACACTGAGTTCCGAGGAACTTTTTCATGTTCATAGCCATAGTACCTAGTGAGTGTTGGCCACAAAGCAGGCAGTCACTACAAAGTTTCTTTTTAGAATGAATGATACTCATTTATGAATTGGAACACACAGCTATCACCTTGTGCTGAAGTCTACTACTTAATTGAAAGCTGTGATCTCTTACGAGGCAGTGTGATTTGGCGGAAGTGGCCTGAAGTAGGAGTAAGAAGATGAAGTTCTTTGACCTCAGCACCCATTTCTCTGGGCCCTGGTCTCCCAGCATTTAAAGGGGAGATGCACTTGCTCTGCCTCCTTTACAGACTGTTAGAGCCAGTACGAGATACTACTTTGCCAGTTAAAAGATTCTCAACAAATGTAAACTGGGCTACCGTTCTGGAGAAGAAGCAAATTTTATTAGTAACTGTTGTACTTGATACAATCCCTACTTTGTTTTACAAAATTTCCAAAATTTCTATGATAGTTGAAAATTTGTGATGAAAAAAATATGTTGCCATAATGTCAGTCTGTGATGTAACACTGCAAGTATTTGAAAAACAATAAGCACAGTTTATTTATTTTAGGGTCTCATAATGTAATTTTTCCTGATATATGTGACTTTGTTTACATGCTTTATTTCATTACCTCCTAAAGCTTGAATTCCAGATGCATCCCTTTTTATATTTCTTTTGAGCTTTTTTTTTTTTTTTAATTTTTTTTTTTTTAACATTTATTTATTTTTGCGACAGAGAGAGGCAGAGCATGAACGGGGGAGGGGCAGAGAGAGGGAGACACAGAATCGGAAACAGGCTCCAGGCTCTGAGCCATCAGCCCAGAGCCCGACGCGGGGCTCGAACTCCCGGACCGCGAGATCGTGACCTGGCTGAAGTCGGACGCTTAACCGACTGCGCCACCCAGGCGCCCCTTGAGCTTTTTAATTGAAGTGTAGTTGACCTACAATGTTAGGTTAGTTTCAGGTGTATGACATGGTGAGGTGAGAACTCTGTATGTTATGCTTACCTTTTAAGTACAGTTTCACTATCATCATTTTAATGCTTTCTGCTCTTGGATTTCTTTAATATTTTCTGATCCATGTATCTTAGTAAATTCACTTGAGCGGAACGGTGGCTACTAGCTACATGCATTGTGGTCTTGGAAGGATGGTCTTTGTTTTTTATAAAATGTAAAATCATTATCTTTTGCTAAAAGATGGTGATATCTTGTGTGTGTCTTAGGCATATTATTTATCTTCTTTGTGATTCACTATCACCACCTAGAAAATTGGGATAATAACAGTTGTTGATGTGATTAAATGGGAGACACATCTATAAATAACTTAAAATAGTTTCCTGGACATAGTAAATGCTCAGTAAAAGTTGTGCCTCATTTTTCATTTTAATTCTGGAGTAGCATTGGGATCATTAATTTTTTCTTCCTAACCTGAAGTTTCTCTCTTATTTCTTCTTCATATAATCATCCCATGATTTTTTTTTTTTTTAGCACATCAAATCATGACCAAATGGGGTTTATCTGAGGAATACAAAGTTAGTTTAGCATCTGAACATCAGTTCAAGTAATTCAACATATATTAAAAAACTAAAAAAAAAAAGAAAAAAACACTTCATCTGAATAGGTGTAGAAAAGGCATTTAACAAATCAAACATCCATTCCTGATAAAAACTCTCAGTTAAGTCAGAATGCAAGGAAACTTCTCTGACACGATCAAGGGTGTCTACAAAACTGTCACTGGCATCGGACTGTCATGGTGAAAGAGTAAATTTTTTTTTCCCCAAGATCAGTAACAAGACATGATATTTACTCTCATCCCTTGCTGTTTAGCATTATACTGGAGAATCTGATCAGTACAGTAAGAGAGAAAAGCCATCTGTCTTGAAAGGAAGAAATAAAGCTGTCTTTTTTGTTTTAATTTTAGATTTACTGTAAGATGAAAAATGGACATTTATATATAGTTGTTGAATACAGAATTGAATGAAAACAGTAAAATAATGTCTAAAGTCTTTTCAGGTCATATAGTTTGAGAAATACATGTCGGAACTCTTATTTTTTTATTCATTGAAAACATCAGCCTAATGGAGATTCGAGTCCACCGAAGTTACTGTTTACCTGCCATCATCTTCCACTTGACTATTGAAATTTTCCTTTTCACATTTGCAGTAATTTCCACACCTTCTGATATTCATACCTGATGCTTACAGTACAGCATCTTTACAAATGTAGCAGATAATTTGAAAATACTTTTAGTGGGTGGTACTCCTTTAAAAAGTGTAATAATACGTATTACAGCTTTGGAATGAATGTAGATGGCACACTTTCTTTAGGAAAGTAAATCTTAAATTCACTGTTTTTTTAAACCACACCCATTTTACAATTAATGGTGGTTAGTGTTCAGTACCTGGGAAAGCTCCAAGTAGCAGAGTCTAGTTTTCACAAAATCTTTCCCTATATATATTCTTGCAGTTAGAGTGACTGTGTGAGTTAACACATGGATGATTCTAGTCACTATCTGCTGAAATTTCACATTTGAGGCGTAGTGTGTTCATACCAGGAGAACAAAGCTGAAATTAAATACGGAATTTGCCTAATGAATCAACTTCATAACATTCTCTGTTTCACAATAAAAGTTCTACAGTGTTACTCATTTTAAACCATGCAGTCGGTTTCATAAAGCTACATCATGACTTTGTTACTAAAGCATTAGTTTCCCCAAACTAGGTAGTATTTAGTAGGAGTTGAAACTCTGCTTATTAGTTCATAACTTGTCAGCATTTCAATTACAACTTACATCTTATTTTCTTAGCCATACTATTAACATAGATTATTTTGGTCGTAAAGGTAATTATGTACCTATTCTTACCTTACTCCTTAAGATTTCTGCCACAATTTGTTTAATCATTTCCTTGTTTGGACCTTTACTTTAAAGTTTCAGGTTTTATTATGCACAACTTTGTAATGACCACAATAGATTTGTATGTTATTTTGAATAATTAGCCTTGAGGAAAAAAAAAGAGACAATCTCAAGAAGATGGAGAAGTGTATACAGTCTTAAGATTCGTAGAGTGATAGAAGTGTACAAGGACCCAAAGAGTCGATGAAGCTGATGATTTATTCTTCATTTCGTTCAAAGGTGATGGCAAGGTATTCCTGAAGAACTACCAAAATTGAAAAGAGGAGAGGGAAAAGGGAGAGACAGGGAGGGGGGGGGGTGGGTTGGAGGGGAGAGACAGGGAGGCCAGGAGTCAGGGAGAGAACTGAAGATTGAGGGTGGAGTTAGCCGAGGATAACAGGATATGTTGTGTTGACACATTCTGGAGAGCCCCAGAGAGGGGTTGCTGCAGGAAAAGACATTAGGGGTTCCAGTATTTACACGCCATGAAAACACTTCTGGGACAAGGCGACCTTTTTGTTATTTGGAGCCTTTTAGACGAACGGGGGAAAAGGAAGAAAGTACATAACTAGTTAATTATATCAACAGGGAATGTGTAAATCATGTTCACACCTTAAAAAAGAGCACTGATTATGCTTTCATTTTGTATGAGGGGTGCCTTTGTAATGGTATGAAAATACTGAAATGTACTAGTCATATTACCACCTTCTTACTTGTGACTTCTTTCTGTGTATGTCTCCATCACTATCAAAAGAGGAGAGATGATAGGATCCAAGTGTGCCATGTCAAAATGTATCATTTGTCATGGATACTTTGAAAACAAAGGACTGACAGATATTAATTAGTTTGATTTGAGGGATCAGTCTAAGATTTGGTCATTTGTAACCTTCAATTTATGTTTCTTTTAATAAGTTTCATAGGAGAATTTACAAAGGAATCCCACTCCAGCTCAGAGGTGAAGTCTGGGCTCTACTTCTGGAGATCCCTAAAATGAAAGAAGAAACAAGAGACCTTTATAGTGTGAGTATGTACAGCAAACTTGTTTTGAAATTGAAAAGTAAAACCCATTTCCTTTCGCTTTCAAGGTGATGTAAGATATTCATGTCATTTGAAGTTATATTAAAATTACAGTACATTGAGTTTTCTAAGAAAATGTTATTTTCTGTATCAGTCGGTCAGTATCAAGTGCTTTTCGTGTACTTGAAATGATCAGTGTTGGGGTATATTCGTGAGGAAAATGGACTAACCCCTCATCGTAGCTGCCCTTTGGCAGTGTGGTGTCACTAAAGAGATCTAGGGTTCCCCCTCATGGACATTGTGGGAAGACGGCTGCGGAACTACCGTTATTCAACAGCTGCCTGTGTGTGCTCGACTGTTTGCTTCTGGGCATGAGAAAAAAGTTTGCCTCCAAGATTAGTAGGTATTTCCCAGTTTTGTTATTTATTAATAAAAAGTCCAACTTTTGACTCCGTGATGAGTAACACTTTCCTTAAACTAGCTAATGTGTTAAATTTGTCTAGTCATTCCTTCAATACCCTTTCTAAACCTACCTTTTATATCAGTGTTTGAAAGGAATAGGAAACATATCTAAAAATCATTCTGAAATATATTCCTCAGAAAATGTAAATAAATGGAATAAATTAAAGTAGAATACAATGGCTAACAAAAATTATTTATAATTTAAACCCAGTACCAATCATAAAGGGAGCTTTGGAATACTCTTGATACTTTCTTTTCTTTTTCATATAATGTGTGTGTGTGGGTGGGTGTGTGTGTGTGTGTGTGTGTGTGTGTGTGTGTGTGTAAAATTTTACCAAGATGAAAGATAAAAAAAATGGTTAATTTTAAAGAGTTACTTATTTTGTGTGTCTGAAACATTTTTTAAATTTGCTATTTGGGCCCTACCCGGACTATGGGTTTATGTCTTAGGATTTTAGAGTTTCAAATTATTTTAGCCTGTTGATAAGATAATTTGCTTTTAGTACCATAGTTTTAGAGCCAGTATTGAAAGTGATGTCTGAGAAAACATACAGAATGTAACCCCAGCCCCTAGAACAGTGTGCCTGGCTACGTAGTAGTGCTCATTAAATTTTGGTTGAGTTAATGAGAGAACACAGTTCCTCTTCCTTCGCCTGCTCCATTCGTTTCCTTGGGCTGCCACAGAGTGCCACAAACTGAGTGGCTCAGCACAGCGGCAGTGTCTTCTGTCTCACTTCTGGAGGAGAGAGGTCTGACGTCAGGGTGTTGGTGGGCCCAGGGTTTCTCTTCAGGCTCGGGGACACTCCTTCCTGCCCCCTCCTCGCTGCGGGGATTGCCGGTGCCCCCCCGGGCACGCGTGGGCCCGCAGCCACATCCCTCGTCTCCGCCTCGTCTTCACGTGGCCTTCTCCCTGTGCGCATCTGTGTGTCCCACCTGATAAGGACGCCAGGTACTGGAATTGGGGTCCATCCCAATCCAGGATGGTCTCATCTTAACTTGGTGACATTTGCAAAGACCCTAATCCCCAAATCAGGTCACATTTCCAGGTTCTGGATAGATGTGAATTTGGGGAGGGGGCCCTGTTCGACCCAGCACAGGTACTGGCAGCAGCACTGTGCTTTCAGTTCCTTTTAGACCTTTTCTCTGTGGCATAAAATGATCCGGGCACTGGTTCACACGAGAGATCCATTCAGTACGTGCCAGTTGTACGATAGCAACCACAAAGGAAATGACTGGCCCGTCAGTACTTCCATCCTTTTCCAACACTGCCATCAGTTCCTCTTTTGACTCTCTGAGTTTTCCCGGCATCATTATTTGATCTTCTTCCTTTCCCATTCCTTCCTACTCTCCCTTCTCCAAAGATGGTATGAACTGCCCTCTTCAGGTTGGAACTTCACTAGGAGTCGAACTGCTGAGATTTTTCTCAGGTGGGTGAGATGGTCCCTGGCTCCTGAGCTGGCGCTCTTGTCTACCACTTCCTCCTATTCTTTTAGTTGCACCTCAGTGTCATCCGCCTCTCTTGTGTCCCTGATTGGTCTCACGGCCGGCGGTTCAGTCCGTCGCGGTTAACTGCCTCACCTACGGCCTTCTCAGCCTCACCTACAGGCGCCATAATCTTGTTGGCCCAACACACAGGGATATCCCGAGTTTGCACGTAAATGCTTTCCGCCGTTCTTCCACCTTCAGGTTTATAGGGTCATTAGATCCGATTTCTTTGAAATGAAATGTGTGTTTTGTATTATTGTTGACCCTCCTGGGTCTCAGCCACCCAGTTCCAGAGATAACCAAGAAGCTGCTTTCCCTCCTTGCACTGAGGTAAGAAGTATGCTTGATTTCCTGTATTCTGTTGTGTGTAAACAGGCAATGACATCATCTTTCTGACCCGTTACTTTTTTTTACTACTTAACTGGGATTTTTGCTTCTGTCTTGAGGCCTTTTTATGTTGGATTTCCTTGTCCTATAGAGAAAGTAATACTATAGACATATTTGCGTGTTTTTCTGCCTTTGAACTATTTTATCACGTCCTATCAAACATTTCTTTCTGTCTTTAGACTTCTCAGTTTTTGCCAGGAGGCCTGTAGAATGATAATTGAAACCTCTTTACTTGCCCATTACCTTAAAAAAAATTAAAGAACAAATATGAACAGATTATCATTTTTGAACTAAATTTTGGTATCAACTTTTATCAGTGATAGTATACAATAACATTTTAGTGGTCATGTGATTCTAATACAGTACTGTAAATATCTTCCTCTGTATTTAGGACTTTGAAGTAGACCATGGTTACTCATCATGATTTTAAAAGCTACAGAAACTGCCATTCTCCGAGCTCCTGCCTCAGAACCCAAGAGTACACATAGTCATGAAACACTTAACACATACACTCATATTCCGGATAGCCTACTTCTTTCTACTTTTAGCTGAAGTCGAGAATTAGCAGTTGTGTTTTTATATGTGTTCGTTGGAGTTAAGACAGATATAGATAGATATAGATATATACACCAGTACATGGTAAATGAGTCAGTTATAATAGCGTATGTAGATGCTTAATTATACTTAAGCATGGTTAAGTATAGATTAGTATAAATTTTAATCTCTTAGCTAGTTAAACTTGGGAGATTAAATATATTCACTTAGCTCCCTTCCTCCCTGAAATGCCACTAAATTGACAGCAGTTTTTGAAAAAGCAAGCCCGCAAGGAATATGAAAATGGAAGAGAGAATGCTGCCAATTTTTGGAAACCAGAATTCAGACAAACATTTAATAAACTTAGCAGACCCGGGAAAATGAAATCCTAGGCTGGCTGTGGGAGATGGGAGACGCAACCTGATTTATATCTCAGAGTCTCCAGAAGGCTTGGTAGTTGCCAACTCCAGGTACCTCTGGAAGTAGAAGGGAAGCCGAAAACAGTGGAAGCGGTTCAGAGTCCGGTGGCAGAAGCAGTGAGACCCCCGAGGTCCCTCTGCAGCCCTGGCTCGAGGCTGAGGTCGACCGTTTGGAGAGAGTGAACCAGAGGCCTCTGGACTGGAGAGGACACACACGTTGCGGAGGGTGGGGCCGCTGTGACCAGGGCACGGAAGAGTACATGTCCTGCACTGGGGGCGTCCCAGCCTCTCCCCCTGTACTCCCTGAACGTTGGCAGCCACGTGCTTGGCTTCCCGGCAGGAGCCCAGAAGACACTTCTCTGGGGGACCTGCCCAGCCCCAGAAAATACACCCAGACGTACTGGCTTCAGGGGAACCCCCCAGTGGAGCTGCCCAGCCACGTCACTCTACAGTGAGGACACGGTGGTGAAGCCCCACCTCCGCACACAGAACTTTCCATCAGCTTCTAGTGTTGTACTTTTAAATAGAAGCAGACAACGAAATACCTCTGTTCATTTGAGGAAAGGAGCTAACATGAAAGACAAATGAGAACAAATGGAAAAAAAAAAAAAACTTGTAAGAAACAGACTATACGGCAAGAAGAAAACTTAAAAAAAAAAAACCAACCCATCACAGATATCTTCAGAGGGATTGAAATAGATGTTACATCCATAAAGCAAGTACAGGATGCTATTAAAAGGAATCTTTGAGAACAACAGAGAGTTATTAATTACAAAAAATCAAAATAGAACTGAAAGATTTTAGAGAAGTTTGAGAATAACAATTGAAGGAGTTTTCCAGAAAGATGATAAAGTCAAAGAGATGGAAAGTAATAGAGAAAATATAAGAAAATTAACTGACAGCCCAGGAGATCCCACACTGTGATAGCAAGAGTTCCAGAAAGAGAAAATGGGAATGCAGCAGGAAGGTTTGAGGAAATCGACACAGGAGTTACTGAAGAAATTACTCAGAACTGAGAGATGGGAGTTCGAGTTGTTAAGATTGAAAAGATCTGTCAAGTGCCCAACCCCGTGGATAAAAATAGATACAAATCAAGCACAGAAATGTAAAGTTTCAGAATGTGGAGAGAAAACTGCTTACAAGCTTCTAGAGAGAAAAAGATTTCATACAAAGAAACCAGAATTAGAGTCGCAACACCTGAAGCTGTAGAAGACAGTAAAGGCAGTGCCTTTTGAGCAGAAGTAGTTTCCAGCTTAGAATTCTAAAACAGCCAGACAGTTAAATAAGGAGGTAGAATTATCAGACATTCAGAGTTTCAAAAAAATTTACCTTCCGTACACCCTCCACAGGAGCTACTAGAGGATGTGTCCCTCCAGGACAAGGGAATAAACCAAGAAAGAAGATGTGAGACCCAGGAAACAGGGGACCCAAGCGAAGGATGGCCCAGCTGAGGGTGAAAGGGACACCCCCACACCCCAGCTGTGCAGCACATCCTGAGGTCCGGGAGCCCAAGGCTGGAGCTGGACAGGAGGCTGTGGCAGAACACCCGCAAGAAGTGGAAATGGGAGAGTACCTTTTCCCCTGCAGCAGCACCAGAGGAGATCAGTGTGGCTTCAAGTGAGTTTGGGATTGGATTAGCAGCAAGCAAACAGAAAATGAAGCGAATCAAGAAAGAAGGCAATGATTAGCTTGAAGAAAAACAAAAACACTGCGGGAAAGCAACAAGAACTCACAATGGACTGCGTGGCCCAGCTGTGAAGTGCTTTTACGTAGTCTGAGCAGTGCAAACTCGGAGAAGTTCTTCCTTCAAAATTAAAATCTGTATGGTTAAGATGAATGAGAGAAGGTGGTGGGAAGAGGAGAGGATGGGTGTGAGGGAGACCCGAGTCGGGAGAGGGTGGGGGGGATGGGTGGGAGGGACGCTCTTCATTGTGTGCCTTTTCATATTCATTGGTGAGCCATGGGCGTGGTCTTCCTAAATGAAAACAGCTTTTAAATGAGAATTATGTTTTGATTTATTATTTTAATGAGAATTATTTTCAATAACTGATTTCCATAAAAACATGCTTTCTTCCCCTCTTTTTTCTCTTCAGAAATTAAAGCACAGAGCACGGGGCTGTTCACCTGACATCAGACAAATAGACCTTGACGTCAACCGCACATTTAGGGACCATATTATGTTTAGAGACCGATATGGTGTTAAGTAAGTAAAGTTTGAAATATAAATGGCATTTATAAATAGTGTTTACTAAAGTCTTCATTAACTTAAAACATGAGTAAGCAGAATGTCTTATATGAACTATAATTTTGATGTATGTCCTAAAAGTTTAAGCTCATTTGGTCTGTGTTGTATGAAACTTAGGATCTAGGTTAACTGAAATTTTTTAACCTTTGACATAGTAGATGCCATACAGTTGGTAAGGAATCATTTTATGATCCAAGAATGGTTAAAAATACAGTAGCTACTTTTATTACAATCTTAGTAAAGAAATTTGAGCTTGTGTTACTTTTTGAGAACCATGTCAGTGACAAATAGATCCCTATAAATTTGACCCCAAAGCATAGCTGAAACAAAAAAAGAGGAATGGATGAATGAATGAGTACTACCGTTTACGAATGAGAGGGATAGTTTTGATGACCTCAGGATCAGGTAGAGTTCAACAAAAGAAACAGAAACCCGGTGAGAGGTGTGTATTCAGAGATTTATTGAGAGGAGTTGGTTTATACAGTAGCGGGGGCTGGCGAGGCACGCCCCCTGATGGGGAGGCAGGCCATCAGAAAGGACAGGCTGGCACTCGTGAGCACAAGCCGGGCTGCTTTCCACAGAAAGAGCTGCTCCAGGGACGCCTCACATCGCTCTTAAAACCTTTCAACAGGTTGAATCAGGCCCAGCCAGACTATCTAGGACAATTGCCCCTACTTAAAGTCAGCTGATTATAGATTGTAATTGCATCTACCAAATATACATTCTTTCAGTAACACCTAGGTTAGATTTTGAATAACTGGGAGTTGTAGCTTAACCAAGGTGACACATAAACCTGACTGTGACCGTGTATCCTTGTCGACTCCGTTTCCGAATACAGATAAATACAAGGTCATACTTTTGCCTAACGCGATTTTGCCTAGGACTGAAACTATGCTAGTCCTTACCCCACAAGAGGATGCAAAGTCTTCGGTGATGGTTACTCTTTTGCTTTGATAGTCTGAAACCTAAATACTGCGATACGAAGTTAATTATTATTAATATATCTAATATAGCTAATACATTAGATGAAAAGGGAAAAGGAAGGAGGAAAACAAAAATATTTTTAAAATATATATGCTTATGTATACACCCACACCCACACACACACACCCACACACACACACACACCCACACACACACACACACACACACACATACACACACTCATGCCAAAATAAGAAATGCTCAGAACAGTGATAACGGTCATTTCTGTGGCTGGGCATGTGGTGGTGGCTGGGTTCCACTACACATTTCATATTCCCTTTGTCCTCTGCAAGTACCTCAGCTGGTAGTGGTTCTCTACCTGGTGGGATGACCTAAGTTTTAATTCGGGACCATTAGCAGTCCTGCCTGAATTAGATTGCTGTATTTTTCCATTGACTTCAATCGCAAGGTTTGGTTATACTAAGAGACCCCCTAAGTATTCTCCTGTGTTCTGGACATAGTCTTCCTTACATCCATTATGTAGTAGCAACTCAGTTTCTCCTTAGTAACCAGGATCAACCCCTCCAACCAGTACAGTCAGCCTCCTTTGCCTGGTGATTCAGAGGCTTGAGGAGCCCAGAGTGGCTGGGTGGCAATCTCAACTACCAGTTCAGTGGGATCACTCCTAGACCAGCAGCGCTTAAGGCTGATGGAATGGGAAGCAAACATTTTGCTAGTGGACTACTAGGGATCGTAGTGGGTTGAGCCATCCCCATTGCTGCCGCTTGAATCTTGGAACCCAGTTCCTGGCTGTGGGACAGATAGCACCATGTAGTGGGGGCTTATTGAGAGCACATACAGCTTCCCATGTGATGTGGCCCCAGCCCTGCACGGTATTGTACTGAGCTGGCACTGTAATAGGCTTCGCAAGGCCTCCATAGTTCTGTGAAGCTGGCTGCTCCCATGTGGTTGATTTTGTAGTGAGAATAGTTCAGTGAAGGATGGCAACAAGTTTGAGAGATTGTGAAGCCCTTTGTGTTTTTTGGTGTAAATTTTATCAGAATGAATGTCATCTAACCTTGAATTTAGACTGTATAGATTATCGTTCACATTTGAGCTGGGGGTCATTTCTTTATTACAACAGTGATTTTGTCTGGATGATCTGTTTTGAGGCAAACTGTTTATTTGTTTAAGTTTGTGTTTTTAAAAATAGGTGAAATAAGTAAATTGTGTTTAATATAAATTCTCTTTTCTCTAGGCAACAATCCCTATTCCATGTTCTTGCTGCATATTCTATTTATAACACGGTAAGTTGGAGCACACCCACCCACAGCTCTTTGGGTTGTATTCTGAGGAACTGGAGGAACTCTTGGGGCTCTCCCTGCCTCTGTGGGTCTTTTCAAGGCTCCTCTGGTGACCCTGGGGTCTTAGAACAGAGCCACTTTGAAGTGGGAAAAACCACCGCATGCCAGTGAATCTCTCGTTTTCCCCTCTTTCTCTGGATTGTTTTGTTGTTTTGTGATGTTGTTTGTCTTGTTTTTATTTTACACAGTAGCGCTGAGAATGAGCAGGGCTAGAAGTTTAGGGAGTCAGTGGGCAGATTAATTTTTGCTTGACCCTTGAACATTCCTCACCACCCCTGGGACCGAGGTTGCCTTTCAGGGTATGGACCTACTTGCCAAGCCCAGGAGCAGGCTAAAAGTAAACTTTTTGGTAATGGAACATGTTGTTCTTAACGTATTTATAACTCAGGGGAAGATAATAATTTGGGGAAAGATAAATTAGTGTTGAACCTAATGTGGATGTTAAATAAATGCTTGTTGACTGGGTTCTGAGGAGGACAACCTTGAACCTTGGGTGTGTAATTTCTATTACAGTAAAGCGTTTCAGTTATGAGAAAGTTCAGGCTAGGACAAGTTAAAGAGTTTATTAAAGGCCATTTCATAGAAATGAAGCAATGGTTGGGCCTCATGGAATTTGGAGCTGGACAGTGAGAGTGAGAAGACTTCACTGAGAAAGAGAGCTATACTCTCTGTCTTTTCCACTCTGAGGCCATGTGGTAACTCTGATTATCTCTGTAAACTGTTTGTCCCACTATCTCTGTCCAGATTCCTTTCTTTGCCTACTTTTCACTTTTCCCATGGCTAAAATAGCACCCACAGAATGGTCGACATGACCATTCTTTGAAATTGCATTCCACCATCTGATTACGGATCTCCTGGAGAGAGTATGGGATTAGTCAGTGCAGCCGATTAACTGTTCCCCTGGGGTCAGGTGACCTCTTCTACTGCAGCAGCTTTGGTTCATGTGGCACAAACATGAAGCCCTAAGGCCCCATCGTAAGCAGGGAGTATGGGGAGAGTAGGCAATTCTCAGAGAAGGGACAGAGACTGGTTGGGTATCCCAAAATGTGTCTATATAAAGGCCTGGAAATCCAGAGGAAGAGAGACAGCAACCTGGAAACTGTAGGAGGAGAGAAATTTGCCAGCATTTGAACAAAGAGGGGGAGTATTGAACTGAGAATCATACATACAAAGGAAAAATAAACCTAGCACTCTTTACAGAAGGTATAATGGTATTGAATAGGAGATAATAAAAATACATGCAGCTTTAGACTTTGTCCACACTTCTACATTCATTCTTGAATACAAATTTATTCTTTTACAGCATATAGTTCAGTGTTGTAAAAATTGTAGTCTTTCTCTGTAGAATTGCCCATTCTTTAATGTGTTTAAGCATTTTCTGATTATTTTGTAGGGCAGGTTTTTATATGTGTATATCCATGTGATTTGATCTTAAAACCCCCAGTTTCTTTGTTCTCATTTGTCTTCAGGAAGTTGGATACTGTCAGGGGATGAGCCAGATCACAGCTTTGCTCCTTATGTATATGAATGAAGAAGATGCCTTCTGGGCCCTGGTCAAACTATTCTCAGGCCCCAAACATGCCATGCATGGTAAGAAAACCCCAGAGTTTACACAAAACAATAAACAGGGAAGGGAGAAAAAGGTAAATTAAAACAAAGTCAAACTTTGGGAGATGCTTGTTAGGGTTAAGGACAAAAAATTAATGTCTGGGAGTTTGTTCAGTTAATTAGTGTTTGTGAGTCATTTCTTATTTCCTCCTTCTTTATTGAACTTTGCTAAACATTTCTGTTCACGTTTATCTCTGTTGTGTTTGCCTCAAGGTATACTGTTGGCATTCTGAAATTCTCTCCTCACTTGCCCCCAGTCAGAAGAAGCTAATTTAGGTTTGGAGGAATTTAGGAAGAGCTGTGTTACCGGGAGAAATAAAAGATGCCTTTTGACCAGAACTTTCAGACTGTCATGCAGTTCTCATTTCAGTGAGATGTGTGCTTTGCTTCTTGTAGCCATAAAATTGATTCCCTTTTACAATAAAAGGCTGCTGATGACATGCTGCGGGTACTTTGTTATTTAATATCTCAAAACTTGCATGAGTTTTTGGTTCTCAGGTTAGAAGATTGTTTTTAATAACCTTTTTCCTAAATCTGCCAAGCATATACAAGAGATTTTGGAGAGTTTGTATTGCAACTTCTCTTGGAAGTAAAAGTGCCATTTGCCCATATAATGCAAAATTATGTTCCCAGTGCCATCCATGATAATACCAAATTAAAAACATTTTTGACATGAATCCCTCTAAGAAATGGATCATCTAAGTTCCATTTGTGAGTAAGCTTGATGTGGTGAGGAACCTGCCACATGTTGAAAGTGATATTTTAACATTTTCAGAATTATGACTATAGCTTATTAAATCTCACGTTCTTACCATGTGGTTTCTATGGAGGTATTTTGTGGTGTGTGTGTGTGTGTGTGCACGCGCGCGTGTGTATGTGGTCATCTCCCTCAGTTTTCCTAGGGAATCTTTTTTTTTTTTTTTTTTTTAATGACCACTACTATTACTACTTCTACCGCTGATAACTGTTTCTGGACACTTTGTATCCCATCAGTAGACTCCAAAAGTAAGAGGTAAGATACAGCATTTTGAACTGCCATCCAACACACAGTCATTTGAAAAGGCATCTTGAAGAAAAACAACTGTCCCTTATCCATCTTTATTTTGACTGGCATTGCTCCTCTGTGCTGAAGTGCAGAGGCATGTGCAGAGGCATACTCAGGAGTATGTAATCACGTGGAAGACTGCCCAAGTTCGGGGAAGTCCTTTCTTTCAAACATACCCGATAGCTTACTTTCAGCAGTTGTCACCAGTCTAATCTGTAAAGTAACATTCTTACTATCCCAACGTTTGCATTTATTGTGCAGCTTAGGTCATTATCGTGGGTAAGTTTATACTTAGAGATATTTGCTTCTAGGTCTGCAGATGGAATTTTATAACTAAAGGTTGCCTCGGTTCTTTGCAAATCCTGTATGATAGTGATGTCACTTAGAAATGTATAGAATAAAGTGAGGGCTGAAGAAAATGAGATTTTAAAACACCAAGTCTGGGATATCACTAACAAGTGAAGAAATGTTAGCTATCTTAGCATCCTTGAGCTAGTGTTTATTACTGAGGGGCATTGCCTTTTTCAAAATGAGACCTTTTCTTGAAATTCTTCCAATTCCCGTTCTTATCAAATTGACCAGGAAAGTGGCACAGATACAGATTTTTTTTTTTTTTTATGACCTAATTTCCCTGGAAAATGTTACTATGGGAGGCATAGAATCTCTATCTCTGGAAATATTTACAAATACCTTAGAAAACTGAAAATTAGTTAACAAATAGGCCTTCCCCAAAGATTATAAAGCAGTGTTTCCCAAAAGCATGTCTCTTGCGTTCTTGGAGAAACACAGTTTTAATTTTTGGAAACAGATGTTCTGTGGGGGGGAAAAAAGGTGGACTCTAAGATCAACTAAGTCTGGCAGAGAGAGCTAAACAAAGTTTCTTTAGTTTATAAAACATGTTAGTAGCATTAGGAAGCTCTTATGTATCATGAATATGCAACAAGGGTTCCTATAACACAAGGTCCTTCCTCTGGATTCTTTTTTAAAAACAGAGCACAGCTATTAACATCCTTCAAAGTTACAGAAAGCCCAGACTGGAAATAACTAATGGGAGAAATGATGCATCTGTTGAGGATACTTCCTTTCTAATGCATTGTGTAGAATATCTGAAAGGAAATTTGTAAATAAATATACATGTAGGGTTCCATGAGATAAATACACAAAATCAGTACTAATTCACCATTTACGATTTGTTACTTCCTAGAAATCTTACAGATTATATTGTGTAATCAGATGGGATAAACTACAACGTTAGATAGAATGTTGATCATATAGTGCCAGAATGTCTTAGATGATGTCAAATATCACTTACAGAAAGGATTAAAAGTGATAAAAACTTTGGAAGCACAATATTAATGAAGTTGTTAGAGTAGGACTGAAAAAAGTAATGTTTGTTATGTAGGATATTGACAGTAAAATAAAATGATAAGTCCTTAAGACTAGAATAACCTATAAAAAATTTGTACATTTAAACCACAAGGGACTCTTAAATCCAGAGAGCAAACTAAGGGTTCCTCAAGGGGTATCGGGTGGTTGATGGGCTATGTGGGTGAGGGGCTGTAATGAGGGCACTTGTTGGGATGAGCACTGGGTGTTGTATGTAAGTGATTAATCACTGAATTCTACTCCTGAAACCGTTGTTACACCATATGTTAACTAACTTGATTTTACGTAAAATTTAAAAAAAAGAAATTTTAAAAAATTTGCACATTTAAGATATGCTTTAAGATACTTCAAGAGAACAGATAATCCTGATAAATGGCTTCAGTTCATTTTTCATCTTTTCTTAATTTCTAAGTTTCCATTTTAATTCAGAAATATTGTCCTCTTTTATATTTTTACAAGGTTATAAGAGATCTCTGGCAAACAACTGCTAGACCACAAGTTTCATTACCCAGAGCTCATACACGATTATTTCCTTGGTGGGGAGGACAAATATCTCACTAACTCCTGGATTTTTGTTGTTGCTGACAGTTAAAAATGAAAACAATGTGTTGTATTTTAAAAGAGGGGTTTTTGTTGTTACCGTTTATGAAAAACTATTTTTATGTTTGTATTCTAGGCTTTTTTGTTCAAGGTTTTCCTAAACTCTTGAGATTTCAAGAACATCATGAAAAAATACTGAATAAATTTCTGTCCAAGCTTAAGCAACACTTGGTAGGTAGATATGACTTTGACTTACACCCACTTATACCAGAAATGAAGCTAGAGGAATTGAGTGCAGCCTTTGGTCCCAATTACTTGATTGATTTGCAGTGTTGTCCAGTTCCTTTCCTATGCACTTGTCATTGCCAGGTGTTTGAAGAGCATGAGATTTGTGAAATTTAATTGTTGTTTATGTTTATTTTTGAAGGAGAGAGAGACAGAGTGTGAGTAGGGGAGGGGCAGAAAGAGAGGGAGACCCAGAATCTGAAGCAGGCTCCAGGCTCCAAGCACAGAGCCTGACACGGGCCTTGAACTCACGAGCCGCGAGATCATGACCTGAGCCAAAGTCAGACACTCAACTGACTTGAGCCACCCAAACGCCCAATATTTGTGAAATCAAGTACTGATGAACCATCACAGCCCTAACTCATAGAATCAAACCGCTTCTTTGCAGATGATATATACAAATAATATAGTTTTTAAAGATATATGATTTTTAAAGATTTGATTTTAAAGATATATGCTTTTTTATGGCACCAAAAGTACTTTAAGGCTCATACAGACATCCTTAGTGAACCATATATATACTCTACTATAAAACACGATGAGTTAGTGAAGCAGAGATAGTTCACGGTAAAATGTGTTCTAGAGAATCAAAATGTATTACAATCCTGTATGTGAAGGATTTATTCTTAAGGTGATTTCCAAAAGTGAAATTGAGGGAGAAAGAGAGGAAGCACGAAGAGAAAAAAACTAGAAATACTCTAGCATGAAAAAGATTTGGAATGAAACGGTTTTATGTTTAGTTTTGACAGCTACCTCCCAACAACCTTCCTGACTTTTAGTATTAGATTGTCATATTTCATTTGCTGCAATCCAGAAATTTGAAGTCTTTGTTTTTTTCAGGATTCTCAAGAAATCTACACAAGTTTTTACACAATGAAATGGTTTTTTCAATGTTTCCTTGATCGTGTGAGTATTTGTTTACAAAACCCAATCGTAAAATTATAAATACCAGATGAGGGGTGAGCTGTTAATCTTATCTCTGTTTTGTTTTTAATTATAGACTCCCTTTACACTAAACCTCAGAATATGGGATATCTACATCTTTGAAGGAGAACGAGTTCTTACCGCTATGTCTTATACAATCTTAAAATTACACAAAAGTAAGAAAATGTTTAAGTATAAGGATTTCACGAAAATCAAGGCTTGATTTAACTCTGATTTCTCATTCCCCACCCAGTTTCAAATTCCTTTTCTTTTTGTGGTGGATTAAAACATTTCTTGAAAGTTCATGAAGAAGTCACGTTTGGTTGGTAATTGGCTTTCCTTGGTTCTGTCACATGACTAGAAGCTGATTACATTACAAAGGTCTTTGATTTGTTTTTCTGTTTCAGTTTCATTTTCACACTGAAGCAGTGGAACACAGTGTCCCGATTTCACTATTAATATTATTCCAACCAAGTTTTGTTTCCTTATTCCTTTCTTCAGTCTGAATCTCAGGTTTGTAATCAGAGACGAGAGAGACCAAAGAAACCAGGCCCTTAGTTCAAAGGTCTAGAGAGAGGACATTTTCCATCTTTGTTTCTTTCATCCAGGAAAAAAGCCTCCAACGCTAAGCTGTAGACCAAAGATGGGGAACCTTCTGCTTATCTCTCTACTTGACCGCATTGTCTCTGGGGCAAGTACAGTCACTGTCTCTAGTTGCACACATGCAACAAGGCTTTAAAAAGTCTTCAGTTGCAGTATTTCAAGGGCTGTATAAATTTGGCATGCTATGCCTTACTTTAGAAATCGAGAAATGAGAGTTTTCTTCATGGATATAAAGAACCTTATTCATCTTTAAGCCTCTGTTCAACTTTTATAGTTATAACTCCTCGTAGTAACTTCTCTTGTAACTGCAGAGAAGAGAGTCACTGGAAGCTTTAGAACTTCCTAGAGTGCCTCAAGCCTAGGTCTTAAACATACATGGTTTCACCTGTTTTGGTCCTTCTACCCTCTTAGGTTATTTTTGAAAGATTCATCTGTTCAGCCTCCCACCTAAACTATAAGCTAATTGAGTACTTGGGGTCATGTTTTGTAAGTTTTTTTCCCCCTGTTGTGCTTGGCATTGTTCTAAGTACATGTTAGTATTTTAATATAAAATTGTTTGATTGCTTACTTGAAAAACATGACTTCGGATTATCCAAAGTTTAGATACAAATGAGAAGTCCCAATGAAATCAAGTTTGTATTGTTTACTCTGAAAGATAGGGATTCAGAAGTGCTGTGGTTCCTTTCCCTTAAACCCAGTCCTCACTCCTCCAGCTCACACACTGCTGCACTGAGATAACTGTGTCCCGAGACTCAGGGTCTGTCAGAAAGCCACAGGAAATCAGTCTCTCCTACCCCATCCACCCCCTCCCCATCTCATTCCCTCCCCTCCTCTCCTCTCTGTGTCCTTTCTCTCTCTCTGGATCATGAACTAAGATGTGGAACAAAAGTATACTTTTTATTAAAATTTATATGTATTAGTTTAATGTTTATTAAACAGCAAGAAAATAGAAACATGATGTTCTATTTCTCCATAGCTCTGTTCACCACCTTAAATATGTTTTATTTGTATGACTTTTTTTTAAAAAAATGTGTGTGTGTTTTTGAGAGAGAGAGAGAGAGAGAGCACAGGCAGGTGAGGGGTAGAAAGAGAAAAGGAGATAGAGAATCTGAAGCAGGCTCCAGGCTCCAGGCTCCAGGCTCCAGGCTCCACGCTGTCAGTGTAGAGCCCGACGCGGGTCTTGAATTCACGAACTGTGAAATCATGACCTGAGCCGATGTCAGACGCTTAACCGACTGAGCCACCCAGGCGCCTCTTATTTATTTGACTCTTGCTTCATTTTGGCAAGTGAGAAGTTTCTTTACCCTTGGCAAGTAAACTGGAAGCATAATAATTACTTTATATCCTATCCTGTCATTGGGCTAAATAGCTATTGGAAAAAACGTGTCTGCTGCTTTATAGTTTTTTATTAGTTAGGAAGACAGAAGCTCCAGGATTCATGTGAAGTTGCTTCACCAGAAAACTTCAAAAACTGTGTCTGGGCACCTGAATTCAGTGACAGCTCCCCTGAGATTTTGTTCTTGTTTTTTTCTTGATTTCCTTAATAATATTTAGAGACGTTGTTATGGGATTATGGGAGGTTTATCACACAGTGGTTTTAAATAGTAAAAAAAAAAAATGCAATAACCGAACTGTCCAGTGTTAGAACACTAATTATATAGTACTTATATCCAATGGACTCAAAAGTATAATCAGTTTTTTAAATTGATACATGTGTATACACATCTGCTTGTAGGGCAGTGGCTCTTGGGATCCTAGCTGATTTTTGCTTTCTACTTTGTATCTGAAATTTGAATTTTTTTTAACAAAACTGGTTTCTTACGTAGAAATACAAATAAGATTAATCATCTAGATTTTTTGGAAATTCTGATATAGTAAAAATAGAGACTTGAAATGGGTTTGTGTATGGTAGGTAGAGCTCCATAACAATAAAACAGAAAGCTCTCATGGCATCCTAGTTGGTCTGTGTCTCTAACAAGTACTTGCTCTGGGTTTATATTAACGTCTAAGGTATGGGTAGTTTTAAATAAACCAACGAAAAGGTATTTGGCAGAATTTACCTTCTGCTGTCTCCTCAGAGTACCTGCTTTTCTCTGTGACTGCTTTAATGTCAGAAAAAGAAAAATGTTTGTTTGTTTGTTTATAGAGAAAGAGAGCATGTGTGGGAGCCTGTGAGTAAGGGGAGGGACAGAGGGAGGGAGAGAGAGAATCCCAAACAGGTACTGCACTGTCAGCACAGAGCCAGATGCAGGGCTTGATCTCATGAACCATGAGATCATTACCTGAGCCAAAGTCAGGAGCCAAATGCTTAACTTACTGAGCCACCCAGGTGCCCCAGAAAATATTTTTATCTTACAGAGTTTCAGTGATTCTTACAATGCTATGTATAAGCTGTATGCTGTGCCCTTTTTGAAAACTACAACCCCAGAATAGAATGCATTATCTTCTCAACCTGAAACAGCTGTTGATGCAGCATTCGTGTTTCTCTCATTCTTTCTTAGAACACCTAATGAAACTGTCCATGGAAGAACTTGTAGAATTTCTTCAGGAGACCCTGGCAAAGGATTTTTTCTTTGAAGATGACTTTGTAATAGAGCAACTTCAGATTTCTATGGTAGAACTGAAGCGCGCAAAATTAGACCTCCCAGAACCTGGTAAGAAATATTCAAAACACTTTATATCTAAATCATAATTAAAGTTGGGAAACATGGCGCAGTGAACACAAGCCGTTTCTGTTTCCGAACATAAGCATTATGCGTACTTGTGGATGGCAAGCTGCTTATGGCATTATGCTTATTTTAAGAAAAAGCAAATAAACGCATTAATGAAATCCGCCCCTCCTAATAAAATAACTGTACTGTCCCTAGTTAAATTTAGAAGGTTTGGGTGGCAAATAATACTGATCAAGAGTAGTAATCGTGGTGCTTTAACTGAACATAAACAATGACCTTTACTTTCATCACATCATGTTGTAAAACCGTAAGTAATAGCAGAGAAAGTAAAAGATCCATTTTGTTGAAGAGGAAATTGATACTGAAATGCTTATGTACAGAGCTACAGAACCAGCAGATGGCATTATTGACCCTGGAGTCCAAGTTTTCTGACTGCTGATCCAGGATTCCTTGCAGTACATTGCTGTGTGGATAATATATTTTATTTGCTTCTTTCTTTTTTAATTTTTTTAAAAGTTTATTTTTATTTATTTTGAGAGAGAGAGACAGCAAGCAGGGGAGGGACAGAGAGAGGGGGAGACAGAATCCCAAGCAGACTCGGCCCTGTCAGTGCAGAGCCCCATGCGGGGCTCAGACTCAGGAACAGTGAGATCATGACCTGAGCCAAAATCAAGAGTCAGACGCTTCACCGACTGAAATGCCCCTTGATTTATTTTTGAGAGTGAGAGAGACTGAGCACAAGTGGGGGAGGGGCAGAGGGGGAGGGAGAGGTAGACACAGAATCCGAAGCAGGCTCCAGGCTCCAAGCTGTCAGCACAGAGCCCAATGCAGGGCTCAAACCCATGCCATGAGATTATGACCTGAGCCAAAGTCAGATGCACAACCGACCGAGCCACCCAGGCTCCCCTTATTTGCTTATTTCAGTACAGCTTTCAGCACCTCCTATTAGATTATCTGCAGGGTGCTGTGGCAGAGACCCAACAACTGAAGAGAAAGACGTGGTCCTTGTGTCAAGGTGCACACAGGAGAGACAGAATTTATATAACTGATAACAAATGAAGTGTAAATAAATAGGATAATTGGGGAAGGATCAAAGGAAGGATAGGATGGGAGGCAAGAGAAAAGAAAATGTGGAAATAGGATGGCAGCAAGAGTAACTCAGAGTATTACTTGACAGCGAATGATTTCCTGAGAAAAAGGCATTTTTCGCCCATTTCCTTTCTTGCCTTTGTTGCACTGGAGGGTGTGGTAAGGGAGGAGGGAAGCTGAAGAGCCTGCGTGAGAGGTTGAGGAGTTAATTGGGGTCAGGGGTTATGCCCTCAGGTAGAGTCCGATGGAACATTTCCCAGTCTCTGGGGCACATATTTTGGTGTCTTCTGGATATGTCTGTGCGGATCAGGCAGACATACATTCATGGAAGGCGCATCTTTCTCCATTTGGTGAAAACCAAGATGCTCTGCTTTTAGTTACTTAATTTTGAGGGGTCCTATCAGCATTTCTCCAAGGTTCGTTCTGGGTCATCCAGATTCTCTAGAAAACAAAACGTCACAGCAATGATTGATTGTGGTCAGCAGCCTTGTGAAACGATCACCTTTGCTAAGTGAGGTTACCTTGTGTTCAGTGCAATAATGTCCATTCCCCACTAATTCTTTACCTGGAATGGCAATGACTAACTGTATTCTTGCCACTTTAACATTTATTTTATTTTGTTTTTTAATGTTTATTTATTTTGAGAGAGAGTGAGCAGGAGAGGGGCAGAGAGAGAGAGAGAGAGAGAGAGACAGAGAGAGAGAGAGAGGAAGAGAGAGAATCCCAAGCAGGCTCTGCACTATCAGCACAGAGATCAGCTCACAACTCGTTAATTGTGAGATCATGACCTGAACCAGGTCCAAGAGTCAGACGCTTAACCGACTGAGCCACCCAGGAACCCCTAACATTTATTTTAAAATATCTTGCATTAGGGGTGCCTGGGTGGTTCAGTCGATTAAGCATCCAACTTGGGCCCAGGTCATGATCTTGCGGTTCATGGGTATGAGCCCTTGTTGGGCCCTGAGCTGACAGCTTGGAGCCTGGAGCCTGCTTCAGATTCTATGTCTCCTTCTCTATCTCTGCCCCGCCCCTGCTCATGCCCGCCCTCTCTCTCTCTCTCTCTCTCTCTCTCTCTCTCTCTCAAAAATAAACATAAAAAAATTTTTTACAATAAAATATCTTGCATTCTTTTAAAAAGAGTTAAGACAAGTTTTAGTAAAAGACATACAGAAAGAAAAAATACATAGTAGAACTAATTAACCATGAGAATAAAATATTATAGAAGAGGATGACTAAGCATCTAACTAGCGGGTATCATTTACTGAGTGTTTAGTATGTGCCACATACTACACGCATTATGTCATTTAATCCCTAAAAATAACTCTGAAAAAGTACTCGTCTGCATTGTACACATGAATAAAATTAGTAGCTGTAGTTTGTAAGATCTTTTTACTGGGAAATGGTAGAATGTGGATGGAGGGGGAGATGCAGAGAAAGGGAAAGGGAGAGAGAAATAATCCCAGAAACACTAGCTAACGTTTGCTCTGATCCTACTGGCACTTGAAGTAGAACGTGGTGAGGTGGCCCCCCACTTTCTCCATCAAGAATCTGGTTTTCACCTGTATTTCTACTGCTGCAGCATCGACTTCCTGGAATTTGTGCCCTGCAGCCTGCCCAGTGTTATCCTCTTGAAATTATTTCAAGCTCTATATGGAGCATGAAGATGGTTCAGTGATCACTCTGGCAGGAAATTTTAATCTCCTCTCTGTCATCTTAAAAGGACACATGAGCGTGTTATTTCTTTGTGGCTCCTTTTGTGCTGCCTCCATTTGTAAGTTGTTTTCCCAGACCCACACAACATGCGGCATTTTAAATTGTTAGTTTATCTTTCTAGCTGAATAGAGTTTTCCATTGTTTTGACTTGCATTTCTTTAATTTTGATTGAGTGTCTTTTATTTTTATTGGACATTTTAATTTCTTTTTCTGTAAACTTCCCTGCTCATCTTCTGCTCCCTTTTCTATTGGTGTGTTTGTGCAAATTCTTCGTAAGTAAAGGAAATGGGCCAGTTTATTGTTATTGTGGATACTTTTCATATACAATTTTTAAAAATTTAATCAGTCTTTTTCTTTAAACAATTTTTTTAATGTTTACTTATTTTTGAGAGAGAGAGAGAGAGAGAGAGAGAGCGCAGGGAAGGGGCCGAGAGAGAAAGAGAGGCAGAATCCGAAGTGGGTTCCAGGCTCTGAGCTGTCAGCACAGAGCCTGATGTGGGGCTCGAACCCACAAACCACGAGATCACAACCTGGGCCCAGGTCATGGATGAAGCCCGGTTGCTTCACCAGCTGAGCCACCAGGTGCCCCATCAGCCCTTTTCTTTATGGCATCCCACTTCTGTGTTCCACATGCTGAATGAATAGGTTTTTGTTACCTGTATTTTCTCCTATGACTTTTATGTCTTTATTTTTTTTTTATGATTAAATCTTTAGCCCATCTAGAATTACTTGTGGTTTAAGGGAAGAGTTTTAAGGTGTGTTTTTAATTTCCACAGATTTATGAATTTTCCAATTTTGCTTCTGTTAATTGAATTCTTTCTTCATGCTGTTGTGGTCAGATAAGATACTCTGTACAGCATCTGTCTTTTAAAATCCGTTGAGACTTAATTTGTGATGTAGCATACCCTGTGTCCTAGAGAAGGACTCATACACTTGAGAAGAATGTGGATGCTGTAGTTGTTGGGTGGAGTGTTCCGTAAATATCTGTTAGATCTAGTTGGTTTACTGTGTTGTTTTCGTCCCCTGTGTGCTTACCTTCTCTCTGGTTGTTCTGTCTGTTATTGTGGGCCACGTATTGAAATCTCCAGCTGTTACTGTGCAACTCTTCCTCCCTTCTGTTCTGTCCGTTTGTGTATCATATATTTTGATGGTCCATTATTAGGTGCATACGTATTTGCAATTATTGGATCTGCTTGCTGTATTGAACCTGTTATTCACATGCAGTGTCCTTTTTTGTCTGTTGTAACCTTTTTTAGATTTATAGTCTATTTTGTCCGATTGAGTATATCTACCCCTACTCCCTTTTGTTACTGTTTGCATGGAGTATCTTTTTGCATCCTTTCACGTTCAATCTGTTGGTGTCTTTTGATCTAAAGTGAAGTCTCCTGAGGGTAACATATACCTGGATCGTGGGTCTTTATCCATTCTGAAGTCTCTGTCTTTTGATTTAGGAGTTTAAACCATTTAATTACTGATAAGGAAGGACTTCTGCCATTTTGCCATTTGTTTTCTGTATACTTTATAGAATTTTGTCCCTCATTTCTTGGATTACTGTCTTACTTCCCATTTGATGGATTTTTTTAATTGTGAAATGTTTAAATTACTTACTTTCTTTTGTGTATGTTCTATAGCTCGTGTGTGCGTGCGTGTGTGTTGTGGGGGCGTGGCAAAGGGATTACATTTACCATCCTGAAGTTATAATGCCTTAATTTGGACTTGGGGCAACTTTAATAACCTACAAAAGCTCTGCTCCTTTGCAGCCCCACCCCCAGCCCTCTGATCCATCCCCAGCCCATTTGGTTCACCCCCAGCCCTTCCGGTCTATCCCCAGCCCTTTTGGCCCACCCCCAGCCCTTCCAGTTGACCTTTTCCACATTGCATCTGTGTACGCTCTGTGCCGCAAAACGTAAAGTAGTAATTCTTTTAAGTGCATTAGTCTCTTCAGTCATGGAGAAAACAAAATGTGGAGTTATAAACCGAAGTTAAACAATACTAGCTTTTAGACAAACAAATGTGTTTTTTTAAGTATTATGCTCTTAAATTATGTAGAAAAACAGAATGTGGAGTTACAAATGATTTTTACAATGATAGTAGTTTTTACACTTGCCCCTGTATTTGCCTGTATTAAGATCTTGATTTTCTTTCATGGCTTGGAATTTCTGTGTAGTGCCCTTTCGTTT